GCAAGAATATTCCTGGTACTCATTTCTGTTAGAGGCTGAGTTGACCCCAGGGCCATAGTGTGGCTGGAAGAATTAGATCAGTTTAAAAAAATCCAGTGACCTCATCGGGATTTGAACCAACGACCTTCTGGCTTGTAGCATAGTGCCTCAACCAACTACGCTATCACGTGCCCCAATGTTGACTTATGGGGGGTAAAATAAATACTATAGAGGAACCTGAAGTACACCCTATTGAGTATGTCGGTTTAGAAGTAAACACAGAAAATGTTGTATATGTTGATGTCTGATTACCAGAATGTAGGATGAAATCGTAATATAAAAATAGCTAAACTATTCTTTGAAAACTGCTCCTCTGAATATGGAGATATTAGATTTCTCCAAAATGTTGGTACCTATATACCATATAGTACGTGGAATCAAACTTCAGAAAACTAATCATAATATTCAGTTCAGTGAAAATCTCAGCTCTCATAAAGTGCTCTTATGGAAATTCTTTTAATTGCCATTAAGTCCAAGTCCAAGTCACATTGCGACTGATGGTCAGTCAGTCTTGGTGTCAAGCCTCAGCTGGAGCTCATGACCAGATATTTATTAGTGTTTGGCATTTACGGTCTTGTTTCTGTGGGGCGCCCTCTCTGACGAGAGGACGGGTCTACCTTTTGTATATGCTGCTGGCCCTTGCCAGTGCAGTCTTTCTTGGGTCTGAGTCCCTTGGGACTCGAGACCATATTTTACTGTCTCTGATTTGAGACTTCCCTTTTCTCACCTCTTACGACTCGCAGGGTCACGGTGGAGGTATTCAACCCCGCCTCCACACGGGCATAATTGCCATCAACATTGAGGTTTAGGGTTTGCACAGGAGTGACTATGAAGAAGGCTATGATATGGGATGTGACATTGTGTAGCTTGGTAGAAGTTTATAGATGTTTGCAAGGAATATGTTGCCTCAAGCTTCAGGTTTAAAGATTAAGCCCAGCAAGCAAAGTGAACATTAATTAATTTTTATGTATTTTATATATGAGTTTCTGAGTGCATGCAAGAATTCAGTTTAAAGATTGTTACATTTACGTATTACAGAAACGGTCACGATGAATAACTAATTACAGAGAAATTTAGGAAATTCTTGTCACGACATACTGTGAAATTGCAATTTCCGTGTATTCTTGTTACGCCATGCTGTGCAATTGTATTGTGTCCTTGAAGAAATTGTAATTGGCGGTTCAATTACGTTCACTTCGCTGTTCTATTAGCATTGCTTGCATCCCCAGATGAAATTTGTAGCAGTTGTAATTATAATAAAGTTGTGCAAAATTATGAATGGACTAGTTACTTTAAGCATTACATATGCATATCTTTGGTAAATAATCAATAAATATAACCCTTAAATGATTGTTCAGGAATTGATTTTGTGTAGATTCTCAATACGGGGACCCCTCTAGGACCATGTACCAAGTCTCTCGACGTGCGCATGTCAATCGGCTCTGTCGTTCTCTTTCTGCCGTGGCATCTGGAGGTGAGTACTGTTGTTTGTGGTGTTGGAAATATCCGTTAGTAATCTGTGTTGAAATATTGCATCGGTCGTCAAGTAACGTTGGAATTTGTACGTACAAGCTGTTCAGTTACTATTTTATGAATATTTGTTTTGAGATGTCTGTATATTTTTCACTTTTCGTGAAAGTCTTTTGATCACCCTGATGTTAGGTCTGCCGGTAGTGATGTAGCATGCGTTATGGTAAAGTACTTTCTAGGCGTTCTAGGCTTTGGTTTGCATTATTTTATGGTTGCAGAAGAACCACGTAGATGTTTAGGTAACAGTTTTGGAGAACTTCGATATTAAGACTGAATATATTTCGGGTGTATTGGTGTGCATTGTTCGCCATGTTCAAAGAAAGATGTCTACCAGGTGTAATTCGTTATCATTTAGGACTTATTATTTTTTAGATTGTAGAATTTTTACAAGTAAACGTTCAGTTATTTTGTGTATGCGTTGTGCAGGAATTAAATTGAAATTAATTATACTCTAGCATTCGACTTCGCTTTGGGAATTGATAGGTTCTGTGTGCAACGTCATCGGTTTACACCGAGGTCGGGGTTGTTGGTCGCGTTGATGTTTTTGGAGTGCACGTTTGAAGAACCCAGAACATTTTTGTAGTTTTAGTGTGGGAAAGTGTCAGCAAGTGCAGTTTAGTCGCACAGTACAAAAAAATAGCGTCCGGTTAATACGGAACAGCAGCCCCACGTGGCGTAAAATAAAATTTCGTTACAACAGTAATATAATGCATTGGGGGTTTTCACGCGGTCAGGATGTGGGAACTGCCCACATTCAAGCAAATGTGACAGCGCAAGTATCATTGCTTAGCAACCGCGACTAAACAGCGGTTGCTAGGCAAAGCCTACAACAATACGGATAGCGGTATTCTATGTCCAACTCCAGGTTGTATGAGAGGATACATTGAGGGTACGAAAAATTCGAGTTCAGTGTTCAAGGTGTTCGCTACTGTTGTTATTCAAACTCAAGTTCGTCCGTGTATACTGTGCAACTGTAATAAATATTATAGAACGGTTGAACAAGTGGTCTCTTCATATATCGACATCCCACAAGGGTGTCGCCGTGGATTTGGTTGCTGAGCTTTTGAATCGAGTAGCAAAACGTATGTGACGTCCGAAGTGTATAGTTCGTGTTACAAGCATATCAGCATACGTGTAGAGCACGTTTCATTTTCGTATATTCTGGACCTTTTCTAAAGTGGTGCTTGGGTGTGTTGCAGTCATTGTGAAAGCAAGCTTGAAACCAATCCATCATGGGCAAAGAGAAGATTCATATTAACATCGTTGTCATTGGACATGTAGACTCTGGAAAATCCACTACCACTGGACACCTTATTTACAAATGTGGTGGTATTGATAGGAGAACAATTGAGAAGTTCGAGAAGGAGGCCCAGGAGGTAAGTGCCAATTCAGTGCCTGTAATATAGCTGTTAAAACATGTGCACTGGTCCTGAAGACCCCGGTCCCCATATTTATATGCCCCAAGGAACAGGGTGGCCCAGTTACACCCCTAGGCACTGGGTTCCCTTTTCATCACCTCCTGACTCTGGAACCAATATCTTAGGAAGGCGTGGAGAGGTGTCACTAAAGTTAAGCTTTGTGTTATTTAATCAGCAAGAAGATGCAGATTGTGTAGGTTTTCATGGTATCAACAGTGGTGGTTATAAAATGTCAACTGGTATATAATACTATGTAGTTGAAAGTGAATGGACTCTCCTCCGAATATCTCGTTGACTTTCAGTGGACTACGTGCTCTTAGATGCCAGAAGCTAGAACCCATCTTTCATTGTGGAACATGGTACTGTTTTGTACCTAGAAATGGTATCTGTAACAAGCAGGAATGACAGTCCGACAGGTGGAACAGCAGTTTGTTAGGTTCAATTGACAGGAAGTCATTGGGCTCAGATAATTGCCAGAATATAATAACTCTGATACCGAGGTAGATTAAATGTTCAAGTGGATCAGAATGTTGTAATTATGATGCAAGGTACAGTGATTTCACAGTAGATTTGTATTTGTGGGTGACTTCCCTGTTTGAATGTAGGAGGGGGTACTAATCATTTGTATAACATTAATTTTCCTGTCAGAATTGCCTCATTGAGATGCCTTATTGTCATTGCTTTCCAACTTTTCATTAGAATATGCCATTAGGAAGGTCCAGGTAGGAATAGTTAAATGGGCATCAGCAGTAACAAATCGAGATTTTGTGTGGAAATTAATGAAACATAAAATTTAGAAGATATGAAACTAATATTACCTATTTTGTATGGATGTGAAACTTGGTCCTTGACATTAAGGGAGGAACATAGACTGAAAGAGCTTGATAACATGATGTTGAGGGGAATTAATGAGAAATGAATAGTAATTTTGATGACTTCTGATTTTAATATTTATGTTACAGATGGGGAAAGGTTCTTTCAAGTATGCATGGGTTTTGGATAAGCTGAAAGCAGAGCGTGAACGTGGTATTACTATTGATATTGCCCTTTGGAAGTTTGAGACTAGTAAATACTACGTTACTATCATTGATGCTCCAGGCCACAGAGATTTTATTAAGAACATGATCACTGGGACGTCTCAGGTATGTGAAGTTATTTGTTTTGTTTTATAATTTATACTTGGCTAGATATTGAGGTTATGAAATTCTTTCCTGGGAAGAGTGATAAAGTAGCCAGGGTGTGAAGTTGACTGCTCGTCTCCATCCAGTCTTGAGGTTAAGAATGTTGAAGCCATGCCTCCATTTTTGTGGTGTGATGCTTAAGTGATTGAACAAGGGATGAATATATATGTATTTTATCAACTATTGATGAAATTACAGTAGCAGAAGTTCTTGGTTTTGGGGGGGGGGGGGGTTTGTTCCCTTCCAGCCTACATGGGAAGTTATAACTTGAAACCTAGTCATAAGTTTGTACTATTTCAGGAGAATGAGAACCGAACATTGCAAAGGAGAGGTGGGCACAATCTGATGTCTTTGAAGTGCCTATGTGTGCTAAGAGTTCAGTCGAATTATGTTACGATGTGCATGCAAAGCACATAACAAAGGTCTTGATAGATACCGAGGGAATAGTTACAAGGGAGACCTAGGCATAGGCAGGAGGCAGTTAAATTGTATGTTATGAAATTGGTGTGGATTAATACAAATTTCTGTGGTGTCTGAATGCTGTGTTAAGGGTTTGTTTTTGCTTTTAGGCTGATTGTGCTGTGCTTATTGTTGCTGCTGGTACTGGCGAGTTTGAAGCTGGTATCTCTAAGAACGGTCAGACACGTGAACATGCACTGTTGGCTTTTACTTTGGGAGTGAAGCAGCTGATTGTGGGTGTTAACAAGATGGACTCTTCAGAGCCACCATATAGTGAAGTGAGTCCTTCTGAGTTTCGTTTGTGAATTTGCTGTTACTCTTAATTTAATAAAGTATTGCCAATGTAATTTTTTTTTTCTTTCAGACTCGTTTTGAGGAGATCAAGAAGGAAGTAAGCAATTACATCAAGAAGATTGGGTACAACCCTGCTGCAGTTGCATTTGTGCCAATCTCTGGTTGGCATGGGGATAATATGTTGGAGCACTCTGGCAAGATGTCATGGTTCAAGGGATGGACTATTGAGCGTAAGGAAGGCAAAGCTGAGGGAAAGTGCCTCATCGAAGCTTTGGATGCCATTCTCCCCCCAAGTCGACCTACTGAGAAACCTCTTCGTCTTCCTCTTCAGGTGAAAACTTTTGTTTTGAATTCGCAGACCAGGATGTTCTGTTTTAGACATACCTTTGTAAATGTTGATGTACATTAATTGTGCATTCCCTTCCAGGATGTGTATAAAATTGGTGGGATTGGAACGGTGCCTGTTGGCCGAGTTGAAACTGGTGTGTTGAAACCTGGAATGGTGGTTACTTTTGCTCCTGCAAATTTGACGACTGAAGTGAAGTCTGTTGAGATGCATCACGAGGCTCTGCAGGAGGCGGTTCCAGGTGACAATGTCGGCTTCAACGTGAAGAATGTTTCTATTAAGGAACTGCGTCGTGGCTATGTTGCCGGAGATTCCAAAAATAATCCCCCCAAGGGAGCTGCAGATTTTATTGCTCAGGTAATTTTTCTTTTTTAAGTATTTGTAGGTCTAGGTATTCTCATTTTATGTGTGTGAAAATGCTTCTGGCGTCATGATCACAAAAAGTATATCCATTAGCCTGTTCAGAATAACAATTTTCCATGTTGGTGCACTGTCCCCCCTTTGAGTTTCTTTGTTTATCTGTCTGTGGAACATAAATATATCTATGTAGAAATATTTAATTCTGTTGTTTTTAATCTGTACAGGTTATTGTGCTGAACCATCCTGGCCAGATTTCCAGTGGATATACTCCAGTGTTAGATTGTCACACTGCTCACATTGCTTGCAAATTTGCTGAGATCAAGGAGAAGTGTGACCGTCGTACTGGTAAGCACCGTTTATTACTATGCTACATGGGTTGTTAGAGATATAGTACAAAGATATGTGATACCTCATTGATGTTTCAGGTAAAACTACTGAGGAGAACCCAAAGTCTATCAAGTCTGGTGATGCTGCAATTGTTAACCTCGTTCCCAGCAAACCAATGTGTGTGGAGTCTTTCCAGGAGTTCCCACCACTTGGGCGTTTTGCTGTGCGTGACATGAGGCAGACCGTTGCAGTCGGTGTTATTAAGGTGGGCTTGAACTGATCCGTTGCTTATATAGATGTGAGACAAAACTTTTGTAATTAAAATTGTGTAGCTTTGTTTTGAGACTTGTGTTGAATTCAGTAAAGTATACCGGTTTCTTTGCTTGCTGGATTGTGCGAAATGTATACATAGAAGTATATGATTATTGCTTCTTGTTTCAGAGTGTCACTACTAAGGATGTTACTAGTGGTAAGGTAACGAAAGCTGCTGAGAAGGCCCAGAAGAAGAAATAACTAGGTGTGCTGATTGGTCCGGCAGTGGCGGTTGTCTCAGCGCAGCTCTCTGCACGGCCAGTAGCTCTCCATCGCTTTTTCAACATGAGCTGCATTCTCTTTCTTTCCAAGTGGCTGCTGAAGCATTTTTTCCATCGTAAAGAATTTCGAAGGAAAGGCCGGCTTTTTTTTTCACACCTCCAGTTTTTACCCCCGGCTGTCTTAATTTTATTACATGTCGATATTACGAATGAAGGAATATGACGTAAACGGAAAATGAGCGACGACCAAGTTCTTTGTTGTGTTGAAATTTATGTTAAAGTAATGGGAGAGAAAGGGACTTTTTTTATTTCCATTCCTTTCATTTTCCGTGTTCCTGAAATATATATGTTAATACAGTGTAACAGCTTCTGTACATAACTTAAAGTGGTAACATAACAAGGGCCAATAAAGAAGCTTTGAACCATGTATGAGTATTTTTTTATATGGAAAGAATCTCTTGTATGTATTTTTATTCAGAATGATACCAGTTTTTACATGTCCAGTTCTAAGCTGCTTCGAGGCTAGAATTTTCCAGTTGTTGCTGTAATTCAGGAGCGCACATTCCACTTTGCCAAAAATGGCTGGTTATGTGGCAATAGATTGCATTAATGGGAGTGTTTTAAAGAGTTAACATTAGATACCTATGATAGAAGATGTGGGGCTGCAGCGATGGTTGCAGTATGGAATGTCGTGTGGAGGTTGTATGTAGGACTTCAAATTTGTATTTTGAAGCATATTTTCTGTTCATTGTGATGTTTAATTTATAGCCATGGTGCTGAAGTCATGTTTTTTTAGTAAAATTGAATAGTTTTGGATTGTCAAAAGTAGTATGCATGACATGGATTTGAGTTCACAATATGTGACAGGCGTTTCTTTAAAAGATCGGCTGCAATGGTTCTACAAAGCATTGTCTTGTATAGAGTGAATTCATAACGTGTATGGGTCAGGCACTGTTCATGATTCTGTAAGGTTTGAAGCAAAAGTGAGTGTTAACGCTGATCATGAATTTCGAATGAGAATGCACGCCCATGAAGAAATATCTCAAGGTCGATGACTGATCAAAGATCAGAATTAGGCTGCACAAGTTTCCCGACATTGCTAAAACGTCTAGTTGGCACCCTGTTTCAAACGTTCCAAAATTTGAGCAGACCATGTGTATCACCGGACACATTTGCAACTGCAGTGATATACTGACATCGGAGCGTCTATTATATTCCGTCCGGTCATGTGCATCAAATAATATACTTGCTGAATGGGTCTTGAAATTTTATATTCGCAATTTTTAGCCAAATTTGTTGACCCATACGACTTTTCATTTAAGTCGTACAATAGCGGACAGTATGCATATAGATCCAAACTTGTATTCGATAAGTAGTCGTTTTCGGGACGATTGAACAGAAGGGACGAATAGGTACATTTCGTAACTTTCATATTCACATTTAACTGTGGTATTTCGAAAGAAGATAACCCGCAACCGAGAATGCTTTTCTGAACACGTAGAAATTACCGAAGCCTCCCCTTTGTTTTATAAATACCAGTGATTTAATAATAAGTTGTATGTGTATATCCGGCAACTGCAGTATGAAATAATCCCTTCTGTTTCCTTGTCTTCCCCCCTCCCCCTCAAACGAGACGTTTCACTGCCATGTATAAAGCGAATCTTGCTACCTCCATTAATTTGTTCAGTTGTGATTCTGATCGTGTTTTCATTTTATGGCTGCCACCATTGTCAAACACACAATTAAATAGACTCATTTTCAAATCATTTTCCTACGATAGGCGTTGATTTACAGCTTAGGAATGTGAAGATTACACTTTTTCTTCACATTGGCTTATCGTTTTGATTACTCTCTCTTTCCTTGTGGGTTGATTTTCAGACTATTTGGCAATTTAAATCCTCCTTTGGTTGCTGTTCGTAGATTATAAACTCTAATAATCATATTTGAACTGTACAGTGGGCGTCGCATTTCAGTATCGCTTTCAGCGTGTAACACTTCGTCGTTAGCAAATGATAGCATAAACGCCATATCGTGGGTCAAACATATTCCCCGTCTTTTCTAATTTCCACTGTCTAGTAGCACCAATCAAATTTTTGTTCCCAATAAAATGGTAATGATGCTGTGCGAAATTTGCTAATTCACTGCCCTGACAGATGCAGCACGCGTTAATTACATGTAGTAAAGATTCAGTTAATACGTGAATTTGTCAGCAGTAGTCTCTGTTGAGAAGAACAGAAAACTTGCATGTTGTGTCTTCTTATTTATTTATTTACACATTCAGGATTTGATGTTACCACTGTTATGTATGATTACAGTTCGAGTACATGGGCCATTGTCTAGGGGTAACGTTCCCACCTCATGACTCAAGGTACGCGGGTTCAAACCCGGCGGAGGTCGTGGAATTTTTAAGGGCGGAAAAATTCAGGGAACAAGTCCTCCAGGAGGGACTTTTAAGCCGTGGGACGTAAAAGATCCTCATGTCTTTACGAGACCTCTGAGCAAAATTGGGTAAAAAGTTTTTTCCGCCCAATGGCTCTGGTAGATGAGGGAAGTATCGGTAGGTTATGGCGACTGGTAGAATATCAAATAAAAATAATAATAACATGGGACATAGATGGCAGTGCTTAACGCTATCAAATACTCTCAGGAGTATGTTTTTAAATAAATACAGGCAAATTAAGAAAAATCAACATTTCTTAATCGATTTGACATTCCGTGGGTGTGAGCAAGTGCAGTTTAGTTGCATAGTACAGAAAAAATGGCGCCAGGTTAGTGGGGAACAGCAGCCCCATGTGGCGTGAAATAAATTTTCGTTACAGCAATAATATTATGCTTTGGGGGTTTTGATGCGGTCAGGATGTGGGAACTGCCCACATTCAAGCAAATGTGACAGTGAAAGTATCATTACTTAGCAACGGCGAGTAAACAGCGGTTGCTAGGCAAAGTGAGTAAACAGCTGTTGCTAGGCAAAGCCTACAACAATACGGACAGTGACATGTTTTCTATACGTCCGACTCTTAAGTTATATAAGAGGATACATTGAGGATACAAATTAGTATATGTGTAGAGCGCATTTCATTTTCGTATATTCTGGACCTTGGCTAAAGTGGTGCTTTGGTGTGTTGCCGTCATAGTGAAAGCAAGCTTGAAACCAATCCATCATGGGCAAGGAGAAGATTCATATCAACATCGTTGTCATTGGACATGTAGACTCTGGAAAATCCACTACCACTGGACACCTTATTTACAAATGTGGTGGTATTGATAGGAGAACAATTGAGAAGTTCGAGAAGGAGGCCCAGGAGGTAAGTGCCAATTCAGTGCCTGTAATATGACTCTAAAACATGTGCACTGCTCCCCATATTTTATCCCCCCAGGAACAATGTGGCCCAGTTACACCCCTAGGCACTGGGTTCCCTTTTCATCACCTCCTGACTCTGGAACCAATATCTTAGGAAGGCGTGGAGAGGTGTCACTAAAGTTAAGCTTTGTGTTATTTAATCAGCAAAAAGATGCAGAGATTGTGTAGGTTTTCATGGTATCAAGAGTGGTGGTTAAAAAATGTCAACTGGAATATAATTCTATGTAGTTGAAAGTGAACGGACTCATCTGCCGAATATCTCGTTGACTTACAGTGGACTACGTGCTCTTAGATGCCAGAAGCTAGAACTCATCTTTCACTGTAGAACATGATACTGTTTTGTACCTAGAAATTGTATCTGTAACAAGCAGGAGTGATAGTCCGACAGGTGGAACAGCAGTTTGTTAGGTTCAGTTGACATTAAGTCATTGTGGCCAGTTAATTGCCAGAATATAATAACTCTGATACAGAGGTAGATTAAATGCTCAGTGGATCAGAATGTTGTAATTATAATGCAAGGTGCAGTGATTTCACTGTAGATTTGTATTTGTGGGCGACTTCCCTGTTTGAATCTAGGAGGGGGTACCAGCTGTTGTGAAAGTTTTTTTAATGTGGTTTCTTTTTACATGGACAAGTCCCTAATCAGTGCCTCGGTTGGGCCATGGCTGCTGTGTTCCTTTCCAGGTACTGAATTGTCCTACCCTTTAATACTATAGCCTTGAAATGTTGGCATGTTGTTAAGCCTATAGTCTGAAGTCTGTAAAGGTAGAATGAGGCATAGTAAAATATATAATCATTTGTATAACATTAATTTTCCTATCAGAATTGTCACAGTCAATGAGACGCCTTATTGCCATTGCTTTCCAAATTTGCATTAGAATATGCCATTAGGAAGGTCCAGGTGGGACTGTAGTTAAATGGGACAAATTAGCTGCTGGTATGCTGATGATGTTGAATGTATTGGAAGGTAACATGCAAGAAAAGAGGTGGGTCTAGGAGTATGCAATGTCAACAGCATGCAGCTCAAAGTCATGACAAAGATAGCTAACGTTCTTTGAAAATGTGGCACAGCTACGATAATTGCTATAAGCAGTAACAAATCAAAATTTTATTTGTGTGGAAATTAATGAAACACAAAATTTAGAATATATGAAACTATAATTTTACCTGTTTTGTATGGATACGAAACTTGGTCTTTGACATTAAGGGAGAAACATAGGCTGGAAGAGCTTGATAACATGATGTTGAGGGGAATTAATGAGAAGTTCCATAGTTTGTACTCTTTTCAAAGTATAATTAGGATAATGTCAAGGAGGTTGAGGTGACTAGGGCATGTAGGACAATAGGAGGAAAATGTGAATGTGTGTGGGATTTTTGTGGGAAAGCTAGAAGGAAAGAGACCACTAGAAAGACCCTATACATGGGTTGGTGGATACCATTAAAATGGGTGTTAGATAGGATGGCATGGATTAATCTGGCTTAAGATCTTTCAGCAAATTTTGTCAGCACCTCTGACTTGTTTATAATGCCTTGAAAGCAGCTGGTGTATGATCAGGTAGGCAGGTATGAACGGTAATTTTGATGACTTCTGATTTTAATATTTATTGCAGATGGGGAAAGGTTCTTTCAAGTATGCATGGGTTTTGGATAAGCTGAAAGCAGAGCGTGAACGTGGTATTACTATTGATATTGCCCTTTGGAAGTTTGAGACTAGTAAATACTACGTTACTATCATTGATGCTCCAGGCCACAGAGATTTTATTAAGAACATGATCACTGGGACGTCTCAGGTATGTGAAGTTATTTGTTTTGTTTTATAATTTATACTTGGCTAGATATTGAGGTTATGAAATTCTTTCCTGGGAAGAGTGATAAAGTAGCCAGGGTGTGAAGTTGACTGCTCGTCTCCATCCAGTCTTGAGGTTAAGAATGTTGAAGCCATGCCTCCATTTTTGTGGTGTGATGCTTAAGTGATTGAACAAGGGATGAATATATATGTATTTTATCACCTATTGATGAAATTACAGTAGCAGAAGTTCTTGGTTTTGGGGGGGGGGGAGTTTGTTCCCTTCCAGCCTACATGGGAAGTTATAACTTGAAACCTAGTCATAAGTTTGTACTATTTCAGGAGAATGAGAACCGAACATTGCAAAGGAGAGGTGGGCACAATCTGATGTCTTTGAAGTGCCTATGTGTGCTAAGAGTTCAGTCGAATTATGTTACGATGTGCATGCAAAGCACATAACAAAGGTCTTGATAGATACCGAGGGAATAGTTACAAGGGAGACCTAGGCATAGGCAGGAGGCAGTTAAATTGTATGTTATGAAATTGGTGTGGATTAATACAAATTTCTGTGGTGTCTGAATGCTGTGTTAAGGGTTTGTTTTTGCTTTTAGGCTGATTGTGCTGTGCTTATTGTTGCTGCTGGTACTGGCGAGTTTGAAGCTGGTATCTCTAAGAACGGTCAGACACGTGAACATGCACTGTTGGCTTTTACTTTGGGAGTGAAGCAGCTGATTGTGGGTGTTAACAAGATGGACTCTTCAGAGCCACCATATAGTGAAGTGAGTCCTTCTGAGTTTCGTTTGTGAATATGCTGTTACTCATAATTTAATAAAGTATTGCCAATGTAATTTTTTTTTTCTTTCAGACTCGTTTTGAGGAGATCAAGAAGGAAGTAAGCAATTACATCAAGAAGATTGGGTACAACCCTGCTGCAGTTGCATTTGTGCCAATCTCTGGTTGGCATGGGGATAATATGTTGGAGCACTCTGGCAAGATGTCATGGTTCAAGGGATGGACTATTGAGCGTAAGGAAGGCAAAGCTGAGGGAAAGTGCCTCATCGAAGCTTTGGATGCCATTCTCCCCCCAAGTCGACCTACTGAGAAACCTCTTCGTCTTCCTCTTCAGGTGAAAACTTTTGTTTTGAATTCGCAGACCAGAATGTTCTGTTTTAGACATACCTTTGTAAATGTTGATGTACATTAATTGTGCATTCCCTTCCAGGATGTGTATAAAATTGGTGGGATTGGAACGGTGCCTGTTGGCCGAGTTGAAACTGGTGTGTTGAAACCTGGAATGGTGGTTACTTTTGCTCCTGCAAATTTGACGACTGAAGTGAAGTCTGTTGAGATGCATCACGAGGCTCTGCAGGAGGCGGTTCCAGGTGACAATGTCGGCTTCAACGTGAAGAATGTTTCTATTAAGGAACTGCGTCGTGGCTATGTTGCCGGAGATTCCAAAAATAATCCCCCCAAGGGAGCTGCAGATTTTATTGCTCAGGTAATTTTTCTTTTTTAAGTATTTGTAGGTCTAGGTATTCTCATTTTATGTGTGTGAAAATGCTTCTGGCGTCATGATCACAAAAAGTATATCCATTAGCCTGTTCAGAATAACAATTTTCCATGTTGGTGCACTGTCCCCCCTTTGAGTTTCTTTGTTTATCTGTCTGTGGAACATAAATATATCTATGTAGAAATATTTAATTCTGTTGTTTTTAATCTGTACAGGTTATTGTGCTGAACCATCCTGGCCAGATTTCCAGTGGATATACTCCAGTGTTAGATTGTCACACTGCTCACATTGCTTGCAAATTTGCTGAGATCAAGGAGAAGTGTGACCGTCGTACTGGTAAGCACCGTTTATTACTATGCTACATGGGTTGTTAGAGATATAGTACAAAGATATGTGATACCTCATTGATGTTTCAGGTAAAACTACTGAGGAGAACCCAAAGTCTATCAAGTCTGGTGATGCTGCAATTGTTAACCTCGTTCCCAGCAAACCAATGTGTGTGGAGTCTTTCCAGGAGTTCCCACCACTTGGGCGTTTTGCTGTGCGTGACATGAGGCAGACCGTTGCAGTCGGTGTTATTAAGGTGGGCTTGAACTGATCCGTTGCTTATATAGATGTGAGACAAAACTTTTGTAATTAAAATTGTGTAGCTTTGTTTTGAGACTTGTGTTGAATTCAGTAAAGTATACCGGTTTCTTTGCTTGCTGGATTGTGCGAAATGTATACATAGAAGTACATGATTATTGCTTCTTGTTTCAGAGTGTCACTACTAAGGATGTTACTAGTGGTAAGGTAACGAAAGCTGCTGAGAAGGCCCAGAAGAAGAAATAACTAGGTGTGCTGATTGGTCCGGCAGTGGCGGTTGTCTCAGCGCAGCTCTCTGCACGGCCAGTAGCTCTCCATCGCTTTTTCAACATGAGCTGCATTCTCTTTCTTTCGAAGTGGCTGCTGAAGCATTTTTCCATCGTAAAGAATTTCGAAGAAAAGGCTGTTTTTTTTTTCCGCACCTCCAGTTTTTACCCCCCCCCCGTCTGTCTTAATTTTATTACATGCCGATATTACAAATGAAGAAATATGATGTAAAAGGAAAATGATCGATGACCAAGTTCTTTATTGTGTTGAAATTTATGTTAAAGTAATGGGAGACAAAGGGACTTTCTTATTTCCATTCCTTTCATTTTCCGTGTTCCTGAAATATATATGTTAATACAGTGTAACAGCTTCTGTACATAACTTAATGTGGTAACATAACAAGGGCCAATAAAGAAGCATGTTCGGTTCTAAGTTGCTTCAAGGCTAGAATTTTGCAATTTGTTGTTCCTGTAATTCTGGAATACACTGTGGTTCATGTTTGAATTTGAATCATACATTGCAGTATTTAAAATTCAGTTTGCCAGAAATGGCTGGTTATGTGGCTATTGATTGCATTAATGGTAGTGTTTAAGAGTTAACATTACATACCTAAGATAAAGATGTGGGGTGGCTGGGATGGTTGCAGTATGGAACGTCTTGTGGAGGTTGTAAGTAGGGCTTCAGATTTCTATTTTGAAGCATATTTTCTGTTCTGTAGTGGGACATTTAAATTTGTGCATTGTGATGTTTAATTTTATAATTGTTTCATTATTTTTGATGTTAATATGTTTTAATTTATATAGCCATGTAATTGAAGTAATATTTTTTAATAAAGTTGAAAAGTTTTGGATTTTCAAAAGTAGTATGCATGGCCTGCATTTGAGTTCACAGTATGTGACACTCGTTTCTTCGAATGATCGGCTGCAATGACCCTACAAAGCGTTGTCTTGTATAGTGTGAATTCATAACGTGTATGTCTCATGCACTGTTCATGATTCTGTAAAGTTGGAAGCAAAAGTGAGTGTTAACGCTGATCATGAATTTCGAATGAGAACGAACGCCCATGAACAAATATCTCAAGGACGATGACTGATCAAAGGTTGATAATTAGGCAGCACAAGTTTCCCGACATTGCTAAAACGTCGAGTTGGCGCCCAGTTTCAAACGTTGAAAAACTTGAACAGACCACGTATATCACCGAACACATTTGCAACTGCAGTGATATAGTGACATCGGAGCGTCTATTGTATTCCGTCCGGTCATGTATATCAAATAATTTACTTTCCGAATAGGTCTTGAAATTTTATATTCGCAATTTTTAGCAAAATTTGTTGACTCATATGACTTTTGTTTAAAGTCGTACAATAGCGGACAATATACGTAAAGATCAATACTTGTGTTCGCACACGTACCGAACCTAAGACGCATGATTCTATTGGACTGGAAAATGTTACGTCCAACATACCTTCTCCATAAGTCAAGGTGCCAGTTTTGCGGATTGAGGGTGTTGCGTGGTCAGCGCAACGAATACCCACGGCCGTTTATTTCAATTTTCTATACCGGAGCCGCTATTTCCTTGAAATAGTTGGCATTAAACTTAGCCGACAAGCGGCGGTCGCTCGGTCGGTATATTTCG